CCATTCTTGTGTATACTTAAATGTTTCTGCTATTTTAATCTAATCGTTTTCTTATAAATTTAGGGTCATTTCTCTCAAATTTTATTCCTAATTACATTATACCATTCAAGATTCCTCAAAATGTCTGATTAGATAATTTTTTCATGATCATGAATTGTTAGTTTTGAAGAATGCAGTTTTAGTCTCTATGTCACATTTGGAGTGGGCAGGAAACTAAAGAACATATTTAGTGTTTTCATTTTAAATTAATTGTTATAGTTGGCATACAAGTAATGGGCTTCATTGTGGCCTTTCATTTGTCTGTATCATTGTATTTTTTTCTTATTTACCCTGACCACTACTCTCCCCTACAATTTCAATGTACAGCTTTCTCCCTGTAAGTGGTCTTCCCTCTGCTTTCATGTGTGTGTATAAGCAAATCTAGATTCTGCTTATGAGGGAAAATATTCGATATTGTGTTTTCTTCTTCCTTTACATGCCCTCCCCCCCTCCCCACCACTGCCACATTTATCCCCTTTCTGTAGCTGGAGTTATCTCGAGTTCTGCCCAGGCCTGTAGCCACTCAGTTCCAAATAAACACACAGACGCTTATATTATTTAAACTGTTTGGCCTAATGGCTCAGGCTTCTTGCTATATAGTTCCTATATCTTAAATTAACCCATTTCTATTAATCTGTAAGTTGCCACGTGGCTTGTGGCTTACCAGTAATTTACATCTTACTTCTCATGGCAGTGGCAGCTGCCAGCGTCTCCTGACTCAGCCCTCCACTTTCCAGAGTTCTCTTCTCTGCTTGTCCTGCCTGTACTTCCTGCCAGGCTACTGGCTAATCAGCATTTTATTTGTCAACCAATCAGAGCAACACATTCACAGCATACAGAACATATCCACAGCATTTCCCTTTTCTTTTTCTTCAAAAGGGAAGGTTTTAACTATAACATAGTAAAATTACATATAATAAAATTTATCAATCAAGAATTACAGTTACAATATCTAGTCTATTTATAATATCTAGTCTATTTGTATTTGGAAAAATTAAAGAAGATATCCTATCTATCCTATATTTGTGAGTATAAGGTTTTATATCTAACTTATATTTTATCATAACTAAGGAAATTATAACTATCTAGTTTTCAACTACATCAAACACCTCATAAGGATATAACATTACCTAAGTAAACAGGAAGAACATTGTAAGCAACTTCCAAAAATCCAGATTGACAGAGACAGCTGGCTGCCTGGACAGTCATCCAAATTTCTTCTGCAATGTTGGGACATCCATTTTTCCGCCTACAGGCGTAAAGTCTCTCAGTCATTTCTCTCGGTGTCCTGTAGAATGTCTCGTAGTTTCCTCTGTGAAGTAGGAACCTGAAGGACCAGTTCGCCAATCAAAGTTTAGTGGTCACCTTTCTATGGCTCCTGCATGTCCAGTCAATCAAGCAGTCCAGGCAAGAAAAGATTTTTGCCCAAGTGGCTATTTTTGCCAAGAAGAAGATAAACTCCATATAGAGTGTCTTTGATGTTCATCCTCCTCTCTGAAGTAAATCAGTGCTGCCAAGAGCAGACATGTCTCACTGTCCAGAAAGTCTAAATTTTTAAAACATTTTAAATTTCATATTTTGCAGGTCTTAGAAGTGTTTGAAGACTACCTATCTGTTTGAAATATATCTGTATATACCTAGAAAATTAAACTAACATGACTATAAGTTTGATTATCATAGAATACTAATTATTAATCTGTATTTTTTAATTATCCACTACAATCTAAATGAGGTATGTAAACATAATACCTCAAGCGAAAATAGAAATATATATACAGTATAACAAAATTAAGTTTAAACTTGTATCAATAAACTAAAATCCATAGCAATGTAAAACATTTCTAAACAAGTTGTTGCTCTTTAAAAGTAGGTTACCCTTTCATCCTATCATATGTATATCATATTACCTTTTCTTCTTTAGAAAGATATTGTATTTATAATCAGTCTGCTTTAAATAAAAATATTGGTTTTGCTCTGTCCCATACCAGAGGGCTCTTCTGATATGGGACAGAAATCTCTCAACCTTTTCTTTTAGCAATACGCTTGGGTTTAGAGAAGGAGTGAGCCAATTCCATCGCCAAAGCCAGCTTGGTATATTTGGGAATTCGGGCGTAGCTTCTCATACTACTTCCTGCTAGAAGAGGGAGAGGGTGCTGTATTCTTATGGGGACACAAAGAAAATTTTAGGATTATGGAGTAATCCATGAGGCTGTATTGTCTGAGCCAGTTGCTTTGAAACCGTTCTGGAAGTTGAATCATTTGGGTCATAGTGTCATTGGAGACCTTTCAGGGTTTCTTGGCTGGTCAAACCTGATGTATCTTAATCTGGAACAAATTCATAGCCTCTTGCTTTCTGTAGAAACAAAATCAGAGCCTCCTTCCCAAAGCAACATATCCTTAGATCCAAATTTTGAAGTCAAGGTACCTTTAAAATATACATATTTGTTTAGCTGAGCAGTTTTTACAATCAAATGTCTTTCTGCAGTTAAAAATATCAAAGACAGCACAATCCAGATTCTCTGTGTAATATCCATCTTTATGTGGCTTATTTTTATATTACTTTTACTTTCTCTAAATACTTAATTTTTTTATAACTATTTCTTTATATAACTGCATATATTACTTTTTTCTCTCTTCCAAGCCTACATACATACATTTTTACACACATTGTAAACCGTTTAGAGGTTTATCCCATCTGAATCTGTCTTATTGTGAATCTATTGCTTTAAACTGCAGTGGTTAGTACTAATGGGTTAGACTCTGCCCACTTCAGCTTTCCAACATGGCGGTGGTACGTTTACTGCCAGCTCTGGGTCTAGAAGCCATGTATATCATCAACTCTTAGAAGCAGTGGGTCTGTGCTTCTATCAAAGCAGCCTGTAGCCCAGAAACCTCTTTTTTTTTTTTTTTTTTTTTGGTCTGTACTAGCAAAGGCTAAATCTAGCATGCAGGGCAATGTGTGGCTTGCAGATGCCTCACTCCTGCCATGCTGTAGGTCAAGCCCTCACACCACAAACCTGCCATAGGGTTTGCTCAAGCCCACAGGCTGTGGCTAACTTGGGAGAGACAACTAGGAAGCTGTTTTTAGCTTCATTTTAAAATCTTCTTTCTCAGGTTTTAGGTGGAAACTCTAGGTGTTGGGCACCATTTTTAGCTGGAGTTGTCTCCAGTCCTGCCCAGGCCCACATCCACTCAGATCTAAATAAACACACAGACACTTAGCTTATATTAATTAAACTGTTTGGCCTAATGGCTCAGGCTTCTTGCTATCTAGTTCCTATGTCTTAAATTAACCCATTTCTATTAATCTGTAAGTTGCCACATGGTTTGTGGCTTAATAGTACTTTACATCTTACTTCTCATGGTGGTGGCGGCTGGCAGTATCTCCTGACTCAGCCCTCCACTTCCCAGAATTCTCTTTTCTTCTTGTCCTGCCTGTACTTCCTGCCAGGCTACTGGCCAATCAGCATTTTATTTATCAACCCATCAGAGCAACACATTCACAGCATACAGAACATATCCACAGTACCTTTCCTCCCTCACCATAGTCTCTCTTCTTTTATGACATCTGTATATGTCTTATATATGAATTTACACACACCTCACACACAGATATAAATAGGTGTGTCCATATATGACAGAAAACATGGTCCATGTATTTCTGAGTCTGACTTGTGGTGCTTGTGTTATTGTTATTTTTACATAACTTTATCATGTTAGTGATAATCTCTATCAATTTTCCTGAGGATGATATTAATTTCATCTTCATTATGGCTGAATAAAATTCCCTGTGTGTATAAACCATAGTTTCATTAAATTAATCTGCTGCTGATGCTCTTGGTGAGTTGCATGTCTTGTATATTTTGAGTTCCTCACTTCTATAGTAAAATCACTAAGTTATTCTCTCACTAGCAGTGTATCATTGTGGTCAGATAGCATCTCAATGTTGTTTTAATTTTCATTTTCTTGATAGCTAAGGATGTTGAACAATTTCCAGAGACTGGCCATTTGTATTTCTACATTGGAGAACGTTTCTATTTATTAATCTATTTATTGACTAGATGATTTTTCATGTCTAATTTCTTGAGACCTTTATTATCTGTGTTAATCTTCATGACATATCCAGTTGGCAAAGATTTTCTCCCATTCTGTAGGCCATCTCTCCATGCTGATGCTTGTCTCCTCTGCAGTGCAGACATACTTGATTTCATGTGCTCTCATTGGTCAGTCCTTAATGTTTTTTCTGACCTATTAGAATCAAGATTAGAACGACCAGTTACCTCTAAATAGTGTACTTTATCTATTTGATTTATTGCTAAACTATGTTGGAGGAGTATTTTTTTGTGAGTGAATATTGTATAGAGTCATGATTTACCATAAAAGTAACACAGTATTCCCAGAATTATCCATTGTACAATTTATGTTTTAACTGCAGCTTTGTTATAACTAGAAAGTCATAGATAAGATGGCCATTCTAATAAAACTTTGTGGATAGTAAAATGTGAGTTTTGTACAACTTTCATGTCTTTTGTTTCCTTCCCAACTATTGAAACAAGGTAACAGTTATTCTACATACATGGGGTGGGCTATGTTTGACCTGTGTATAATAGTTTATTAATGTCTAACTTAGAAGATTATGCCATAATATAGAAGATGTTCATATCACATTGAATGTGAGTACACATATCATAAAACATGTATATTGAGTGTGATAACATCTATATAAAAAAATCAGTTTCCAGCAAGACAGCTTTGGGGAATGCTATATCAAAATATTTACAGTGCTCCCTTGGTTAGATTATGGGTAAATTTAATCCTACATGTGTTTGTTTTGTATGTTCTGAATTTGTACTATGACTGTTTATTGCATTGTTTTAAAAATATCAGAAAAAGTTATTTATGCAGTGTCAGCAATTGGTACATTGATACAATCTGTTTTGTTTTCCCTGTTTTCTGTTCAGCCAACAAGTCCCAAGTTTGGAAAAGCTGACTCATATGAAAAACTGGAAAAGCTAGGGGAAGGATCTTATGCAACAGTGTACAAAGGGAAAAGCAAGTAAGTTAAATGTTTTAAAGAATGTGTCATATGTTCAGGGTATCTGTGCTCTGACTATTAAATAACAGCATATTTAAATTACTCAAATTTACTACATAATAGATTTTCCTGCTGTTTGGTTTCCTGACTCCTGTGAATCTGCTTCAAACAAATCTAAAAGCAAATGGAAATTGTTTTCCTGAGGCAAATGGCTCTGCAGACTTCTCTAACTTAGCTTACTATTTCTCAATGGAGTTAGAAACCCCAAATGGGAATTATTTTCCAGGTGAATGAAGTCGTTAATTTCTCATGGTGGTTTAGTGTTTATTATTATTTTTTCCATTTTTCCCATTTATTGAAAATAGGTTCTTTTCTCATACAATATATACTGCCTATATATACTCATGAGACCCACAGAAATACTGAGTTAAAAAACTATAATATATACACAGAGAACCTGGTGCAGACCCACATTGGCCCTGTGCCCACTGCCTCAGTCTCTGAGAGCTCAGGTGTGCCTTGCTTAGTTGATTCAGCAGACCTTTTTCTCCTGGTGGTCTTCATCCTCCCTTGCCTCTTTTTCCTGGGGTTTCCCTGAGCTCTGAGGGGAAGGATTAAATGGAGACATTGCATTTAGACTTTCTCTCCAATAATGTCTGCCTGGGGGTCCCTGATCCTGTTCCCTTCTGCTGTCAGAGGAAGCATCTCTGTTGATGACTGAATAATGCACTGATCTGTGAGTATGGCAGCATGTCATTTTATTGTTTGTTGTTTGTTAGTTTAGACCAGCAGTGTTTGGTTTTACCCTAGGTCTCTGGTTCTTGGTCACCCACGCAGTGACAGTTATGGGGTCTATCTAGTGAAGTCGGCCTTAGTCAAATCAGACATTGGTTGGTTACTCCCACGGGTTCTGTACCACTGTTACCCTAGCACATAAGGACAGATTGTAGGTCAAAGGTTTTATGTCAGGGTTGGTATTTATGTTTCTCTTTTGCTAGCCTGTAGAGTACCTTCCTGCATCAAAGACATCAAAGAATGTGGAATGAAGGCTCCATATAGGCACCAGCTGGACCTCTTCATGTTCAATAAGTTGTGTGGATGTTGTCCTCAGCAATGATGCCCCACTGTCCGATTGCAGAGAGTAATATATTATTATCTTAGCATCACCCTGGGTTGTTTGAAGATTTTCATGTGATTCCCTTAGCCAGTAAGTCATTTGACTGCAACCTAGTCCCTGTACTGGAAGAGGTGGCCTTATTCCTTATTCCTTATTCTCCATTATTAGGAGACCTCATTAGGATCACCTTCATATATTTTAGGAAGTTTCACTGCACTGGGTTTCCATACCCTCCCTCAAAGCCCCAGTTTCAGCTGTTTCTCTCTGCATTCCCTCCCACCCTCCTCCCTCCCCTCCCTCTTCCTATCTGATCCTCCTGTTCCTGCCCCACTGGTAAAATCTATTCTATTTGTCCCTCCCAGGGAAATCCATGTGTTCACCCTAGACTCTTTCTGTATGCCTGACCTTTCTGGGTCTACAGACTGGAGTGTGGTTATCATATACTTAATGGCTAATCTCCACATAGAAGAAAATATATAACGAATTTGCTTTTCTGGGTCTGGGTGACCTCATTCAGGATGATTTTTTTTTTTAGTTCCATCCATTTGCCTTGAAATTTCATGATGTCTTTTCTTTCTTTCTTCCTCCCTCCCTCCCTCCCTCCCTCCCTCCCTCCCTCCCT